TGCAAATTATTTTTGGATTTTGGATAAAATTTCCGATTTCGAGAAAATCACCTTAATTTCCCAAAGGATAAGCCGTTATCTCCACTCGCTATTTTCACCTCGCGCATCTCAGAGTGCACTATATTCACATAACATCACTTAGGTCACTCTGCGCGTCTGCGCGACGCGTGCGACGGGATTAATCCTGCCGCACGCGCCGCGCAGATGCGTTGCGTGTAGGTCTCGCACCGAGAACTTAGTGTACGGCTTATCTACAGGAGTTTAGGGTAGTCAAAAAAACCTATTGGAGGATTTGTATTGTATTTACTTTTGATGTTTATCTCCTCTGAAAGCAGCACTTTTTGCGGCTAATCTGTTTGAGTACAGTTGTAATGTATTTGCAGCTTTTTACAAGCTATGTCAATGAGCTGTTGTTGGATATAACTTATCTTACAACTGGAGCTATTGGTTTGGGCATTCTACTATCTAAAAGTTGGGACTTTTTGAAATCAAGTGTTGTAGTTTGAAAAGCTATGATTTTGTGTTGATAATTTCATCACCTACGGCATCCACACAGATATTCATTTTCAAAAGTTACTGTGAAATTCGTTTTGGTCTTCTTCGTGATCTGTTGAAGTGGGTGAACAGTAAACGTTTATTTGGAGTGTTGTGACGATAATAAGTGTTCTGATGCCCGGAGCAAAGCCTCCATGGGCCACAGTCCTTTGTTCACCGATATAGTAGAAACACAGCAAACATAGATGCAAGGCGATCAAGTCAGGCAAATACGCCGTCCATTGTCTTACCAGTTCTCTTTGCAGCTCACAAGGGACGGACTTAAAATAGGGAGAATGTTCAACATCCTCGGCATAAAGCCTAGGCCATCATCCCAGACACAAAAGTGCAGCAAGTTCATCACTAGCACAAAAGTTCAACTGATTTCCAATTAATTCCGTTGGTAAAGAATTCCAGCATACCTACAGCAGGCGGCAGCAGGTAATTAACTAATTTGCAGACAATTTTCCATAGTCAGAAGTTACGTACATGTCTCTAACGCTACTGAATTAGGAAGAAAGTAAGATGACACTTTTTTTCCCACAAAAGTCCAGATGGGAGCTCAGAAATGCTTCAATCGTTAATGAACATATATTATGTTCTCAGCGAATGAATTAAATCTTACTGGGACAGGAATTTGCCCCAATAAAGGTCTATATTTGGTACCTCCTTCACCCAGCAGTACGGAAATTGAAATGTTCCTTCTTATGTCAAATTCATAGGCGCATCAATACCCAAATGTATATGAACACTGAGTGAATATTTACATCCCGTTGTAGCGCAGCGCTATCAGTCCCATTGTTGTGCAACAAAAATCAGTTACTTTTGGATATCAAAATAGATTGATGATACGTATTAGCGCAAGGAAGAGTCAAGCCATTGTGCATGTTGTCTAGAAAATGACAACGAGGTATGTGTTTCAAAACCCTTGATGCGCATCTACAATACCGGGGGTGGGGGACGTGAGGAGGTCTCAAAGACATGCCGTCTATCTCCTGTGGCAACAATTAGAGGCGCGAGCCATCTCGGATGGTTCTGGCAACTTCCCAAGTTGGCTTATATCAATCTGTACCACAATCACCACGCTTGAGTATGAAAGTTGAATTGACCAAAAAATGAGAAAGAAAGTGGGAAACGGATAAAAATCTGCTAAAATTTCACAATGTTGCTATGAGAGGTTCAAATATAAAAATATGGAAATACAGTATGAAATCACCGTTTTATATTGAAATTTTGAACAAGTACAGAATAATCCTTATATAATAAAGCGCAGGGCCCCCCCTGTGACTCATCGTGTCGGTTTGTCGCCGATGAC